GAGCCTTCCAACCTTCTAAGTATTCCTTTATATGTGGTTCAGAGTTCTGGGACCATCCTCTGAGCCTGCTTGGTCGGGTATTCTGTGTTGTTGTTGGCGGAGCTCCCTGCTATACATCCACCCGATCCGCCATCTTGTTTGTTCTTGTCATCATTTAACTCTTTTGTTGTCTGTTTTCATTCTTTTTACTTTTTCTCCTTCCTGACCTTGCAAAAGAGGTTGCAGAATTTGAGTGAGTTAAATGCATGTGGCTCCTTCCTCCGTACTCTTAGAGGTCTTTCTCTCACTTGATATTCTTCAGGTCTTAGAAAGCAATTATTGATGTTTTCCTCTTTAGGAATTTGAAAAACTGCACCCACCTCTGCTTGATTCTCCAACTTTTGCGTTTAGCCCTAGGTTTTTTTTTGGTTGCACATAGTCATCCTCAACAACTACTCTTTGTGTGGGGGGGGGCGGAGGGAGGGAGTCATTATTATATATAGATCTATCACACTTTTGCCAATTCACCTTTTTACAGATGTACAACTTAATGACGACAATTACTGTAATTGTCTTCAATTCTTACCCTAACATGATATTTCCATTATTGCTCACCCCTTTTCCTCTGTCCCTCTTGTTCCTAATAAGCACTAATAAAATTTGTTCTCTATGCATTTATCTGTTTTTCTTATATAAGTTGGATCATGTAATATTTGGTTATTTTGTGGTTGACTTATTCCGCTCAACGTAATGTCTTCCAAATCTTTCCATATTGTAGCATTTATCAAGACTTCATATCTCCTGCTGGTAGAGTAGTATTTCATTGAATGAATGTACCACATTTTGTTTATCCATGCATCTGTTGATGGACATTTACGTTGCTTTTAAATTTTGGCAATTATGAATAGTGAGTGCTACAATGAACATTAGTGTACAATTCTCTGCTTGAGTCTGTGCCTTCAAGTCTTTTGGGTCTATACCTAGGAGTGTAATTACTGGGTCCTATAGTTCTACTATTAGGAGCAACCACACTAGTTCCTCAAAATCCTATAAACAGAATTGCCCCATAACCCAGCAACACAACACCTTTTTTAGGTTCAGTTAGTCTCATTTTTTTTTTTTTTAAATAAGAAATCGATATAATGAGATGATGTTGTCCAAGTTAATTGCATTTGAAAGTGATAGTTGTTTTATGGTTCTTATTGACAATTAACATTTCATTTTCAAAATAATTAGGAAAATATGATGTGAAGTGTGTGTCAGTACCCCCTTATTCCATAGTGGTCTATGTTGTCTCTTAAAAATATTAGTACTGTCAATTTCTCATAGTTTAAATACTGAGTACAGCATATAAGATAACGTAATAAGTATTACATCATAAATTATATAAATATATTGCATGCATTATATTAATTATAAATTAATGCATATTTATTAATTTGTTATTAATTAGCAACTTAATAAATTATTAACCAAGTTGATCTGTAAACTTTTACCGAAATCACAATAAAGTGTAAATAAATGAATATGCAAGCAAAAGCGTATTTCCCCCAAATAAAAAATAAACGGGGAAGAGAGCTTGAATGGTCCATTTCTGGTTTTGCTCATTATGTTATTAAATTGAGTTTTGGATTGACTTTGAGTATTTGGTGTTATGTTCAAATAGTAAATTTAGAGCATTTATATTTTTAAATGCCTATTGCATTATAATGGAGTATTCATCAACTAATTACAAGTAGAAAGGAACTTTGGAGTCTACTCATCCATCCCTGCTTAGTCCACTACACAGAACAACAACACAAGGCCCCAAGTAAATGAAGTCAGTGGGAATAGTAGTAGCAGTTATAATCTTGGTTTCTTTAGACCCTATTTATATCTTTGAAACAAATTTTAAAAAAAACCAACCCACTGCCATCCAATCAATTCCAACCCCTAGTGACTGTATGGGCAGAGTAGAACTTCTCCACAGGGTTTCAGATACTAAGGGACTAAATTTTGTAAGAGCAGATATCATCATCTTTCTCCTATAGATTCGCTGGTAGGTTCAACTACTGACCTTGCAGTTGTTAGCAAACCAGTGCTTAGCCCATTGTTCCACTAAGTACTCCTTTTATACCTTTGATCCCCTGGCAGTTTGGACCAGTATGAAATTTTCTAGCTCTGTTTAGTAATTGTAAAACAGGTTAAACTAATTGCAGTTTAAGTGAATAGTTTACTTATTACATCAATCAACATTAGTGTACAAGTGTCTGATTGAGTCTGTGTAAAAAATAGGTTTCCCAAAAGTTGGTGTGTTTTTCCTCTCATTGTGTGTCAGTGGTTTATAATTCTGTATTTCTGTTTGTACAGGTTCACGTCAGGGCTGGTCTCTTTCATGGTACTGAGCTCCTATGTAAAACCATCGTAAGCTCAGAAATATCAGGGAAAAATGATCACGTTTGGAATGAATCACTGGAATTTGATATTAATACTTGTGACCTGCCAAGAATGGCTCGATTATGTTTTGCTGTTTATGCAGTTTTGGATAAAGTAAAAACGAAGAAATCAACTAAAACTATTAATCCCTCTAAATATCAAACCATCAGAAAAGCTGGAAAAGTGGTAATGATATATTAACTTATGAAATTTAAAAAAAATACAATGAAATAATTTTTAGACCCTTTGAAATAATTGAATAATATAAGTTAAGTTGTATCATGTAAATTTGGTGACTTAGAACTGTCGTCAACACAACAATCAATCTCTGTTTTTAATGTTCTTCTTTTTCGGTTCTGGCAATTGTTATTATATATATATGCTATAAGTTTTATATTACAAGTGTGAAACTCTCATTTAGAAGATAAAGAAGACACTTAAAAACTACAGTTCCACAGTCCCTTTAACAGATTCTAGGGTCCAGGTGTATCTGACAATTTAGAAAATTGTATATTTTAGAAAGCTCATAGATTGTATACCTCATTTAACAGGTAGGGAGTATAAACTTATAATCAAACATTAGTACTTACATTTTGGGGGGATGAAGATAGCAATTTTGTGCATTTAAAATATGTAGCATACATTTGTATATACAAGGGGGCTTCAAGACTTCAAGGAAAATTTTCATTATCTTTTCATTTTATATTTCCATGTTTTTTTTTAAAACTCCCTTGTATTTTTCTATGCAAACCTGTATCTAATTTTATTCTTAACATGAGAATATAAGTAGTATTTCCTCTGGATATCATATATTCTTCTGAAAACATTTTTTTTTAATGGCTGAAAATGTAATAGATGGGTTAGTTACTTAGCGTTTTTCCTTTTGCTGGTATAGAGTTTTACTCAAATAATTTGAATATAAGGTTTTTTTCATACACTGTGGCCAAATTGATACATCTGTTTAAATGTATATACGAGATTCCTGTTATTCATTGTTTGGTTTTTAGAGATACAAAATAAATTTTACACTACAGAGAGACTCTGCTTCCTCCTGCATAAAGATTTATATAGGCTGAAAACTTGTGTAGTATATGGCTTGATCTTACATCACGTATTTTCTTGACTAAAAAATTCTTATCATTTCCAATGGCTGTAAAATAAGTAGTCTATTTTATATATATACTATTTTATTGTGAGGCGTTAAATAGGTTTTGCCACTGATCATTTCTTCATGTCTATCTTATTCTCATTTTGGATGATTTTATTTGATTTCTAGAACTAATATTTTTGAAACAAAGGGCATGAGCGTGTTTACACCTTTAATTTCCTTCTTAACATTTTTATGCATTGATATCATTTTTCAACAGCATTATCCTGTTGCCTGGGTAAATACAATGGTTTTTGACTTTAAAGGACAGTTGCGGTCTGGTGACATAATATTGCACAGCTGGTCTTCATTTCCTGGTAAGATTTATGTCCTTATCTTTAGCATGAAAGAGTAACATTTTTGCACACTGAGTATGAAATGTTTTTTGTGACTTATCATTTTTTCAATTCAGTAAAGAAACCTTCATTTCATATCTTTATTGTTTGTCCTAAAATTGTTGTTGTTGTTGTTGTTGTCATGTGCCGTGGAGCCGGTTCCAACTCATAGCGACCCTGTACAGGGTTTTCAAGGCTGTAAATCTTTACGGGAGCAGAACGCCTCATCTTTCTCCCACGGAGAAGCTGGTAATTTCGAACTGCTGACCTTGCGTTTCACAGCCCGATTCATAACCACTATGCTACCAGAGCTCCTTTTATCCTAAAATATGTTTCCACAAATTGTTTCTTAAATATACTCGAGAGTTCTTCTATGAGGTAAATGGATTTATCCTCACTTTAAAGATGATGAAAACATCTAAGGCAATGAATTGCTGGTCCTGGAAACTCAGGACCATAGTCTCAGGTGACAACCAGGGTCAATTGACACAGCATAGTTCAAAAAGACAATGTTCTGCATCCTACTTTGGTGAATAGCATCTGAGATCTTAGAAGCACACAAGCGGCAGTCTAAGGTACAACTGTTGGTTTCTCCATGTACACAAGAAAGAAGAGCGATGAGAATTGCAGATGCTTGGAATCAGTTAGTTCAATGGAACATGTGAATATCAATCTCCACGACTCTGAGACCTAGATAGATGGTGCCCAGGTAATTCTGAAAGGAATTGCATTAGAAGGTCCTAGATACAGTGGTAAACAATGTGGAGCAAAAGTCAAAATTATAAAAATACCTCAGGCTTACTGGTCAGAAAGAAACTGGAAGAGCCCAAGACTTTTTTCCTCAACTACCTTCCGATCTGAAAAGGAGCTCTCACTCTTCATGACTCAGTTTTCAGCCAAGCAGTAGATAGATATATAGAAAGGACAACTACACTAGTAAGATATGCTCACAATGGAATGGTCAGTCATTGAAAATCAAAAGGACAACATTTGCCTAAGGACCAAGTTGAGAAGGGATGGTAAGGTGGGTGCAATGTAAATAGGAACCACAGGAAGGAAGTGGGATAACTTGTTGCATGGAGGGGATTGCAATCATTGAGTTGAAACAATGTATATGTAAAATTGATGCTCTTGTCTGTAAAGCTATTCTCAATTCACAATACAAAGTTTAAAAATAAATAAAGACGAAAGTGAGAATCAGAGAGAATAAATAAATTAGTCAATATTCGGTTCAAACCTAGGATTTGATTGAAGGACTGCCTGACTTGTTATTCTACACTTCTTTCTGAGATGTTGGAATTTTTAGTTTAAACTCTGTCTTATATGTCAGTGATGGTTGTGTGCCATCAAGTTGATTCCAATGCCTAGTGACCTAGCATAGGGTTTCCAAGGTTGTAAATCTTTACAGAAGCAGAAAGCCTCATCTTTTTGCCACGGAGCAACTGGTAGATTCAAACTGCTAACCTTGTGGTTAGTAGCCCATTTCATAATCCAGTATGATACCAGGATTCCTTGTTTTATGAGTAACTGTGATTTTCTTTTTTGTGTATGTCTTCAAAGTTTAATATGTTTAATAAAGTTGTAACCTTATTTGAATTTTTAAATTACTTTAGTAGTGATAAATTTTGGAAATGTCCATGTATTAGCAGTATCACATGCAGAATTATTTTTGGAAGATCAGTTATCTCTTGACAGACTTGTAAACTCACGTTTCACTATTTTGTATGAGTGTATGTCATCTCTTTCATATGTTTCTAGTAATTTGTTGTTAATCCTTTATATCTATCCTAACTATAGAAAAACTGTATACATATGATATATTTCTTATATGGAACTCTCGTTTCACCGTGGAGTAAAAATTGTTTAGGTCAGTACTGTAGTTTTATCGAAAAAAATCTTAATATAGACTTGTATTTAATGTTCTCTAGAATCAATTAACTTGACTAATAATTTTAATTAAATTGACAGTATTTAGTTGCTTTTACTTGGCATCCCATTAACCTGACTTCATGTCTAAGAAAGTATAAGATGAAAAGTAACTAGTGAATACAATTAGCTTTTTCCAAAGAGATGGATTGGCCAAGTGGCAGCATCAGTGGGCGCAAGCGTGGCAAAAATTGTGAGGTTGGCCCAAAATTGGGCAGTGTTTCATTTGGTTATGCATAGGGTCGCTATGCATGGGTAGTGGCTCAATGACACCTAACAACAACAACATATTAATTTTAGAATTGTCAGATTTATCCAAGTAAGGGCAAGCAAGAAACAACTGAACTATAATCCATTAAATAGTTTCTGTGAGTCTTTCCAAAAATTTTTATGTATGTACTAGGAAATGCCAATGTAGATGATTATTTTTCTATTTTTATTAAATAACATATGGAATAGTAGATGATGTGCAGTGTTCTGTACTTTGCTTTTCTCACCTTCTTTGTCTGCATATAGAACTTTTTTTGGTTGTTTTTTTTTTTTTTATTAAAGCAGTATATTGTCTTTTGATAATTTAAACAGTGCTGTAATGAGTATCCTTCTTTATATGCAGGTATATTTCTAAATGTCAGTTTATTGAATTAAAAAAAAAAACTTTTTTTTTGGTAACACATACTACTCTTCAGTGAGTTTGCATCAAGTCTTTGCTTGGAGTGTGTTAAGCTTTTTTGTTTGTTTGTGTATTTTGAGGCTGCTTATAAGAAGGCCATAAGGCTAACATTTGATTTTAGATGGGTTTGCAGTCAATGCAGTAAATAAGTATAATGCTACTGGAGAGCACAGTCTGGCATTTTAATATGCTGAGAAATCAGTTCTTGAGTTATATAAATTGTGAGACTTACCACCACCCAGGTGATGATTGAATATATGAAATGACAAAATATTAAATGAGATGAGCAAAGGATTAAGAAGCTAAAATTGTAAATACTTTGTAGATATTTTCTAGGTTTCGGAGATAATTCTGTGTGTGTATATATTCTGGACTTAATATTTTTTTCACAGAAGGCGTGGCGCGAGCTGCTGTGTTCTAATAAATAAAAAGAGAAACTAGTTTGGGAGGGTGAGCTTAGGTTGGACTCTTAACTTTGTTTTCTCATTTTGAATTTAATCTCCTACAGTTTCCATATCAGTGAACTAAGAAAGTTATTTTAGAGGCGCTCCAAGGTTTTCTGACAATGCTGAAATTCTAAGGTCCCATGCACATTTCTGTGAATGAACTATGTTTAGGGTGATAGAGGATGAGGAAGGAGTGCTCTAAAGATGAGTCCAGTTGGTGAAATTAAAGGAATACCACTTGAATGGAGTATTAACAGAAACAACCTGAGAAGGTGTAACCATGTCAGCAGTTAACAGAATAATAAAGGAGAGTTAACAATTAGATATGGTGAAAAGAATATCATTGGTGGTCAAAATTATCCGTTTAAAAGTAATTTGTTTTAGTTTAGTTTCAAAACATTAAGAATCAAACTAATTTATATGTTTCAGATGAACTTGAAGAAATGTTGAATCCAATGGGAACTGTTCAAACAAATCCATATACTGAAAATGCAACAGCTTTGCATATTAAATTCCCAGAGAATAAAAAACAACCTTATTATTATCCTCCCTTCGATAAGGTAAGCTAGTTTTTAAAAGACCATTATCTGTGAAATAATTATACTTACTCTCAACTGTGTATGTTTATAGTTAAGCTCTGTATGTCTGCTTCTCTGTCAAAACTTCATGTACATTGACAACTTGGTTTACTGAAATACCACTGATTAGGGAGCCCTTGAACTTCCTTTACTTTTGGCTTTATCACTGACCAAGGCATTTCTGGAGTTCAGTTTTCTCATTTATCTAAATTGTTCTCTGAAGTTCTGTTCAATGTTAAAAGGCTACAGATATATTCACATGTAAATGGTTTAATGAAACACACCATCATGGTGCTTCAGAAATTTTAGAACAGAATCATTGTGCTAAAATTTGGATTCAAAGACTAAATCATTTAAGTTGTATGTTAGTAGTAAGACCTTGCCATGTTACCATGATTTTTGTAGAATCTCTAAAAAGGACTTTCATGTCTAAACATTTTCTTGTTGTACAAGCTGCATATCTAAATAATAGATTATCTGATGGGGGCTGAAAATTGGAGCTGTAATAAATTACATGCTCAGAGACCTAAATTCTTGCATGCTTACTCTTCAAGTTAGGGTATCCTTGTTTCAGGTATGATTGGTGCTGATTTTTTTTTTTTTTTTTGAGGAAATTTTTAAAGAAATTCTCAGAAAGTAGACAGTGAGTTTATTTAATTGTACTTCCTTAATCCATTTGAGAACAAACTACTCTTAAAATCTGATATAATAAATAATCTGTATATTTATTTATCCACTTGAAAGATTTTGGGTATTTTAATGTTCAACACTACCATACCTTTGTAGAACAGATATTTTTAAGCATTTTGCAAATAAAATTTGACCCAGTGTTTCTTTTTTTTTTTAAATTTCAATCTTTCCAGAATTATATTTTCATTTCAAGTTCTTCTGTAATGTTTTTCTGACTAATAATATTCAAGTAAATTCAGAGGTTGTTAAAATAGAAAACCAAATATACCAAGAACCATATATTTTCATTGTGGTAGTAGTGGTGTGCCATGGAGTTGGTTCCAACTCACAGAGACCCTGTGTAGGGTTTCCAAGGCTGTGAATCTTTACGGAGAGAAAACCTCATTTTTTTCCTGTGAAACAGCTAGTAGTTTCGAACTGTTAACCGTATGATCAGCAGCCTGACTCATAGTCCCTTATGTCTTCAATGTAGTCAATAGAAAAAGGTTCATTTTGACTTATCTATGACATTTATGCCATGGCTTTAGTTATCCCCTTGTTGTTAAGTGTCTTCAAGTCGATTTGAGTTCATAGCCATCCTGTTTCCAAGGAGCAGCTAGTAAGCTTGAACCACCAACCTTGCAGTTCATACTGACCTTGCAGTCCAGTGTATTAACCTGCTATACCATACCAAGGCTCCAGTTATTTTCTAGATAGGAATTTATCTATCTACAGTTGATATTTATGATACATTTAATTGTCTAGTCTTTGATTCTTACGGTATATATTCACTTATCAGTTATAGTTTCTTTTGGATCGAGTATGATGCTTTTAAAAGGAGTTTTAAAATGTACATAATTTATTAACTCCTATGCAAATGTAAATATTTAATTTTATATAATTCAAGAAAAATTGAGTATCTTTTTAATACTCTGTTTGGCTTAGTAACAATTAGGAGACAAAGACTTTTCACATTACTTTCAAAATCTCCACATCATTTCTTACTTGCTTGAGAAACTAATATAACTCAATATTTCCTTTCATTTCTATTCATATGTCTTTTATATTTGGTTGTTTTCCATACTTGTTTTAACAAGAACTTGATATTATAACAAGATGGGGTTAATTTCTGCATAGATTTTCCACATAGGTTTGTTGCATTTTTAGCTAGAATTCTCCCAAGTTCTGTGTAACCAGTCATCGTGCTATATGTGTTGTCAAACAGGACGCTTAGCAAGAGAATGGAAGTTCATAAATCAATACCTATGTATCCGTAATCTTTAAACTAGAAGATAATTGTTGTATATTATTAAGATCACTTCCTCTTAATGAAGGTATAAGGAGTAGAAAGATCATAATAGGCTGCCTAGCTGTCCTTGATAGAGCTCTGTATTTTTGACTTTTCAAATGAATTGTTTTTGGTTATAGTTTAGTTTTGGTTATAGTATAGTTTATATAATAATTGAATATTATCACAAAAAGAACATGGATCTTTTGATTCTTTATATAGATTCACATCTTTTCAACGATTAGGGCCCCTTTCTTAATGATTTTAAAAGACTTTTTCAGGGTTTTTGTTAGTATTATGTTTGCTTTTTGTATTTGTTAATTGAAGAAAAACATTATGAAAAATACTGTACATTTATTAATAACCCGTTTAAACTTTTTTTAAAACAGATTATTGAAAAGGCAGCTGAGATTGCAAGCGGTGATAGTGCTAATGTATCAGTAAGTATCAAGGGTTTAAAATGTGGTTTGTTTTTTGTTTTGTTTTTCTTGTTAAAGTGTTATGAGCTAGGTTAGGTAACTATATCTTGTTTAAGGGAGTGCATTTATAGAAGCCTGTCGCTCAGATGTAAAAGCAGTTTGTTAGTGTACGTGAGTATGGGCATAATCATGTGTTTTCAATGGTAGCTCAGTTTATAAGTGGTCTGTGTTCAACATTTTAATAAAAACACAAGTTCAACAGTTACTCTGTAAGGGATGCTGTCGCACCTCAAAGATGAGCAATATATTTACTTTGTAAACGGTACCCAGTTTATTGAAGAGGCTGTGATTTTCTCTCTCATGTTACAGAGTAGTTAGTTGTAAGTCATGCCAGGTTCTACAGTATATATAGCCAGGTTTCTTCCACATTGGTCATCTAGGATGCTTTAAATGGTTTAATAGTTGCTGTCCAAACTTCTTCTGTCACTACGGTTCAGGCAGCAGGCACAGAAAAAGTCTAAAGGATACTGTACCTTGTTCTGTTTTCCGATATCATTAGCATGCTTTACTTATGCTTACACCCCACTGGCCAGAACTTAACTGCAAGTGAGGTTGGGCAGTGCAGGCATTAGCTTGTCAGTCATGACTCCAATTAAGAGATTATAGTGCTAAAGGAAGAAGGAGAAGATGGATATTGAGGGATAAACAGCAATGACTGCCACACTTACTGGGTTTTATTATTTCTGCCAAGACTACAAAATGTATTACTTTGTTAACTTGGCTTACAATTCATATATTTCTTCCATTTTTTGACTTTCTAGTCTTAAAACTTTGATAAGTTCAAATCTGATACTTGCTGTTGTTGTTTATCCCCTGTGGCTTTGGTTCCGACTCATAGCGACCCTGTACAGGATTTCCGAGGCTGTAAATCTTTATGGGACTTGAAGGCCTCTTCTTTCTCCCACAGAACAGCTGGTATTTTGAACTGCTGACCATGAGATTAGCAGCCCGATTTGTAACCACTACGCTACCAGAGCGCCTCTAGCATCCCTTTTTTTGTTGTGCTTTGCTTCATTGTGCTTTGCAAATATGCTTCCCCACACACACAAAATTGAAGTTTTGTTTCTGTAAACCTAAATCTGCTCTAAATATGAAGTCTTTGCTTTAAAAAAACACCGCCATTAGTCATTGTTGTTGTTAAGTGCCGTTAAAAAAATCTGTTTTGACTCAAAACCTGTATAGGGTTTCTGAGGAGCAGCTGGTGGCTTTGAACTACTTACTGTGCAGTTAGCAGTCCACTACCTATCCTACAGCATCGCCCCAGGACTTCTTATTCATTAAATACTTACTAATTAAAACCAGGAGTCCTGGTGTGGTGCTGCAGGTTAGTGCTCTGGACTGCAAGGTCAGCAGTTCAAGCTCAGCAGTCGTTCCATGGAAACTCTCTACAGGGTCACTATTAGCCACAACCTTTAGCTGGAACTTTCTCAACGGCACTTAACCAACATCAACAATTAAAACTACAATGTGATACAACTTCACATCCATTAGTGTGGCTATTAAAAATAGCAAATGTTGGGAAGAAGTCAACAAAATTCTTGTTCATTGCTGATGGAAATGTACATGCATACCTTTTTGTGTTGTACCCCGCTGTGTTGTGCTTCACAGATAATTACAGTTTTTACAAAGTGCCATTTGCAGCAAGCATGCGTTGAACAACTTATCAACATCATTTTTCCAACAGCATGTGCTCTTTTCGTGTCTTTGTGTCACATTCTGGTAATTCTCAACTGAGCTTCACCCTTTTTCATAATGCTATTGTACACTTAATGGACTATTGCACAGTGTAAACATAACTCTTATAGCAACTGGGAATCTAAAAGATTTGTGCAACTACTTTATTGTGATATTTTATTGAGGGGTCTAGACCCAAACATGCAAACATATCCAAGATATATATCCATTCTATTCTCTTGTCATCAGGTTACAACTTTTAAGCATCTTAAGCAAAACCATTTCACCCATAAATGATAATGATATTGGGGCTCCAAGGCAAAATGTATGTAGTATATTTTTCTCATTTGGTTCTAATCACAAAATCAAAGCGTTCTTTCATGCTAACTAGTTGGAGAAATGTCTGGCTTAAGTTGTCTTCTGATTTTTTGTTGTTGTTATTAAGTGCTGTTGAGTCGGCTCCAACTCATAGCGAGCCTGTATAGGGTTTCCAAGGAGGTGCTGGTGGCTTTGAACCACCAACTTTGTGGTTCACAGTCTAGTGCTTATCTTACTGACCACACCAGAAGAGTTCTCAAAATTTTTTCTATTAACTCCTCTGCGTTGAGTTATTGACTATAAATATTTAAAGGGCAACACTCTTTAAGAAAACAAAGCAACTTCATTATAGATTGTTGTTGTTTTTGTTGTTAAGTGCCATCAAGTTGGTTCTGACCCATAGCGACCCTGTATAGGGTTTCTGAGGAGGGGCTGGTGAGCTTGACCCACCGACCTTGAGGTTCAAACGACTTTGCAATCCAGTAGTATATTAACCCACAGTGTCATAGCAGGACTCCATTAGTATAGATTAAATTTAGGCAATTACTAAAACAAGCAATTAAAATTTAAGCTTAGGATATAATACTTGTATAGATTTTGATCCCTCTATCTGGTTATCCAAAGGAGCTGTGGTAGCATAGTGGTTACGAATCGGACTGCGAACCTCAGGGTCAGCAGTTCGAAACTACCAGCTGTTCTGGAGGAGAAAGATGAGGCTTTCTGCTCCCGTAAAGATTTACAGCCTCGGAAACCCTGTACAGGGTCGCTGTGAGTTGGAACCCACTCCACGGCACATAACAACAACAACATCTGGTTATCCATTATCCATATTACTACTATTTCTTCTTTTCTTTAAATTTTCTTATTTCGTTGTTCTTAATAGTGTTTCTTGAATCTCTCTGAGGCATAAATTGACTCATGCTATTTTTAAGTATGATTTTATATACCAGATTTAAATTAGAGGGTTTCTAGGTCACTGTAGCTGCAAAAAGTGTTCTTGCTCAGGTCTGACATAGTAGTTTTGTTGTTTGTTTATTTTTCTGTTAAATTAAGCACATAGTATAATTAATCAATTATGAAATCAGAATGAAAACGTCTTTTCTGTTATCTCCACATATTTTCCTTCCTCAGAGTTAGCTGTAAACCATTTAGTTCGTAGCTATAAAAATATGCATTTGCATTCCTTTATGTGTAATTATCTACATCTTTAAAAAATAGGAGATAGTTTTGTATAAATTAAATAAATAAAACCCATTGCTATTGAGTCCGTTTCCATCCTCTGGGGACCCCATGTGTGTCAGAGTAGACCTGTGCTCCATAGTGTTTTCAGTGGCTGATTTTTTGAAAGTACATTGGCAGAACTTTTCTCTGAAGCATCTCTGGCTGGATTCAAACCTGTAATCTTTTGTTTTTCAGCCAAGAACACATTGCTGTTTTTACTACCTAGGTACTCTTATATAACCCTAACCACTATTTCCAGATCTTTTGCATCATCTCAGAAAGAATCTCTATACCCATTAACTGTATACCCAGTAACAATAACTCTTCTCTTCCCCCTCACCCCTCACATCCAAACCCCCAGCCCTTGATAACCTCTATTCTACTTTCTATCTCTGTGATTTTCCTATTATTAATTTGCCAATTATTGTCCTTTTGTTAACATAATGCCTTCAGGTTTCATCCATATTGTAGCAAGTATAAAATCTTCATTGCTTTTCATGGCTAAGCAATGTTCCATTATATGGAGGAGAGGGGTTTCAAAAAGCTCGTGGAAAAGTTCCATTATATTTTGTGTGTGGGGGCGTGTGCTCTCCTCTTAACTTACTGAGTGGGTGAGTGAGTTAGTGAGTGAAGACTTACAGAACAGATCATCTGTTTTGCACTATGTTCCATCTTACTGAGTGCACTTTCCCTAATGTTACATCACGTATCCTCACTTTGTTTTTCATTTCCATTTCTCCTCTTTTCCCAATACTTCTAAATTTTGCCTTTAGGTAAATACTGCCCTTTTGATCTTGAATGGTTTTCATTGTCTTTCAAATCCATTTTCCCACAAACTTTTTGAAGCCCTTTCTTTATATATATATATAAAAGGATTGCTCTGGTAGTGTAGTGGTTACGAATCAGGCTGCAAACTGAAGGTCAGCAGTTCGAAACTACCAACTGCTCCATGGGAGAAAGATGAGGCTTTCTGCTCCTGTAAAGATTTATAGCCTCAGAAACCCTGTTCAGGGTCGCTATGGGTCAGAACCAACTCCACGGCGCTTAACAACAACAACTATATATATACACACATATACCATATTTTCTTTACCTGTTTATCTGTTGATGGACGCTGGATTGTTTCCACCTTTGGGCTTTTGTGAATAATGGTACTGTGAACTTTGGTGTGCAAGTTTCTCTTTGAATCTCCACTTTCACTTCTTCTGTGTATATCTAGGACTGGAATTCCTGAGTCCTGTAGTAATTCTGTGTTTAAATGTTTAAGAAACCATCACATTATTTCCCACAACAGCTATTGTAGTTTACAGGTATACCTTGGAGATATTACAAGTTTGATTCCAATCCACCACAATCAAGTGAGTCCACATGGTTTCCCAGTTCCTATAAAAGTTAAGTTTAGACTGGTGGGGCACTGTAGGATAAGCACTTGATAGTTAATTATAAGGTCGGCAGTTTAAACCCATCAGCCATTTCTCAGAAGCTTTATACAGCTCATAACAATTGTTGTTATGTGTTGTCGAGCCAGTTTTGACTCACAGAGACCCTGTATAGAGTTCCTGAAATAACTAGTGGGTTTGAATTGCTGTCCTTGCAGTTACCTACCCACCATGCTAGGGCTCAAGTAGCATTATGTAAAAGCTTGAAATATTGTGAGAAAGAGATACACAAAGTGAGCACGTGCTGTTGGAAAACTGGTGCTAATAGACTTGATCAACTCAGGGTTGCCACAGACTTCAGTTTGTAAA